TCAGACTCTAGAAAACAGGATCAATGCCCATAGACTTTTACATGAATACTTCATCTTATCTCAATTTTCTCTTTTCTTTTTTTTTTTTACATGACCATTCTTATTAATGAGCAGTGGGCTAATACTGTACCAGTATACTTAAAGCTGCATTAACTAAGATTTGGCACAAATATGGATAAATTAAATAAGAAATGAAGTGTTTTCTCCCTGCTGTACTAAACCCCCCCACCCCACTCTGCTACCTTCAGGCCCTGTGTTTATTTCTACTCCTCTCTGAGCAGTGTTAAAATCTGCACTGCACCTCTTCCACGTCTCTGCTGATCCGAGGTTATAAGATGCATTTTTCAAACCAGTATGCCTCATTTCAAAGACAAACTGTGGAGACTCCCTGTGCTGGTACAGCCCAGGATGGGAGCGGCCTGTTAGACCCAAGAAGAGGTCGCGTTCTGTAGCACAGAAAGACTGACAATTTTTTACTTGATTTATCCCAGTTTGTGCAGTTAATGCAGCTTTAATGCCAAGTTATGAGTAGATCTATAGCTACTGGGGCGTTGTGCTGGGCAAAAGGTCTCAGAATACCAAAAAGAAATTACCACAGTGATCCTCAGGGGTCTCCTTAGATTACAAACTTAAATAGAACAAACTAACCTGTGTCACAAAGTTGCCCAGTGTAGCCACTCTCACAGTGACAGTAGGCATCTCCTGTGTCTGAGATCTGGCAGCGACCATGTTTGCAGGACAGGCGACGGCAGGGGTTGAACAGCTCCCCATGCTGGTTACACAGTGCACCACGATAGCCTTCCATGCACTCGCAGCGGTACGACTGAGCGTCCAGTGGGATGCACTTTCCATGGACGCACCTAATAAGAGAGAACTTTGATCAAATGAGCGCTTTCAAAACATTTTGCCCTGTGATACTTACATACTTTCAGATGCCAAGTGGACTGCAGCCCAGGTGTTGTGGAGGCAAAAACTCAGGTCTGAGAAGAGTTCAGTGAGGCTATGGAGAGGGACTATTGGTCGGCCTCGAAGAGATTCTGGCAAACCGTCCGGCACCTCAGGAGGAGGAAGCAGTGCCCTGCCAAAACTGTTTACAGTGGAGGTGGGCAGCTGTTGACCTCAACTGGGGACATTGTTGGATGGTGGAAGGAATACTTCGAGGATCTCCTCAATCCCGGCGCCATGTCTTCTGATGAGGAAGCAGAGGCTAAGGGCTCAGAGGTGCACTCGTCCATCACCCAAGCTGAAGTCACTGAGGTAGTCAAGAAGCTTCTCGGTGGCAAGGCACCGGGGGTGGATGAGATCCGCCCTGAGTACCTTAAGTCTCTGGATGTTGTTGGGCTGTCTTGGTTGACACGCCTCTGCAATGTCGCATGGTGGTCAGGGACAGTGCCTCTGGACTGGCAGACCGGGGTGGTGGTCCCATTTTTTAAGAAGGGGGACTGGAGGGTGTGTTCCAACTATAGGGGGATCACACTCCTCAGCCTCCCCGGGAAAGTCTATGCCAGGATACTGGAGAGGAGAATTTGACCGATAGTCGAACCTCGGATTCAGGAGGAACAATGCGGTTTTCGCCTTGACCGTGGACCACTGCACCAGCTCTATACCCTCTTCAGGGTGGCGGAGGGTTCACGGGAGTTTGCCCAACCAGTCCACATGTGTTTCGTGGATCTAGAGAAGGCATTCGACCGTGTCCCTCGCAGTGCCCTGTGGGGGGTGCTCCGGGAGTACAGGGTCCGGTCCATGTACGACCAGAGCAGGAGCTTGGTTCGCATCGCCGGCAGCATGTCAGACTTGTTTCCAGTGCATGTTCCGGCAGGGCTTCCCTTTGTCACCGGTTCTGTTCATTATTTTTATGGACAGAATTTCTAGGCACAGCCAGGGGCCGGAGGGAGTCCGGTCTGGGGACCACAGGATCTCGTCTCTGCTTTTTGCAGATGATGTTGTCCTGTTGGCCCCATCAAACCAGGACCTCCAGCGTGCACTGGGGCGGTTTGCAGCCGAGTGTGAAGCGGCTGGGATGAGAATCAGCACCTCCAAATCCGAGGCCATGGTTCTCAGTCGGAAAAGGGTGGCTTGTTCCCTTCAGGTTGGTGGAGAGTTCCTGCCTCAAGTGGAGGAGTTCAAGTATCTTGGGGTCTTGTTCACGAGTGAGGGAAGGATGGAACGGGAGATTGACAGACGGATCGGTGCAGCTTCTGCAGTAATGCGGTCGATGTACCGGTCCGTCGTGGTGAAGAAGGAGCTGAGCTGTAAGGCGAAGCTCTCGATTTACTGGTCAATCTACGTTCCGACTCTCACCTACGGTCATGAACTTGGGGTCATGACCTAAAGGGCAAGATCCTGGATACAGGCAGCCAAAATGAGCTTTCTCCGC